CCACTCACTCTCGCCCGTTCCTGCCCGGGAAGTAAGCCTGTGCTCACCACCTTAATGCATTACTGCCCAACCATTTCCATGTGAAAAGGGCTAGGACACCCTCTTTTCCTTGACTGTGTTTGGCCATTACTCATCATATGTTTCTGGATGTGTTTCCAAGCCAAAGAACACTTACGGATGCACTACAGGTGACCACCATGGCTGGCACAGGTTTTTTCTTCAGATGCTAGAGACTGGTATTTATTATCATCATTCCTTCCTGTTAGAAAGAGGGGTATCTCCTGGGCCATAAGTAGAAATAAGATAAAGCCAACAGACATTAAGCTTCTGGAGAGGTCAGGCTGTTTGATTCACCATTATATTACTGATACCTAGCACGGCTGCCAGCACACAGAAGGTGCTCGACAGGTATTTAGTGAATGAATGAAGCCGCTTGCGCTCAGAGTGCCAGTGTCTTTAGTTTATAAACATGTAAATGACAAGCACATGAACAACCAATGTAATGAGAGAGGAGTAAAATGCTAAAAATACCGGAAAAGACTATAGTATTCACCAAGTTAGCAATCTTTCCATTTCAAGCTTATGATCACTTTTTATATAGGAATAACAAAAATGACTACCATGTACTGAGTTCTTACTGTGTACCTGGTATTTCATAGAAATTATTGCATTTATCCCTGGTAACACCCCTAGGATATGGAAGAGGGATCTAAGACTTAGAAAGATTATAGGATCCAAGATCCCACCACTAGTCAGCAGTACTAATGCAAGATCCATATTTGGGGGCCAGACTAATGAAAGTGGTTCTGTAGGCAGAATACTCCGGCCCTTGCAGGCAAGATGGAATAGAAGCTGACAAAAATCACAGACTAATGAGGAACCTAGTGTACCAGTTATCTCTTCCTAAGGTTATAAGTGGCTAAAATAAGGTGGGAGATGGCAGGAAGAATGAACCAACTCCAGAGAAACATTAAAAAAAGACCCAGTGGAAAGGCTGATAGATTATAGATGGGGGGAAAGGTAATCCCTCAGGAGATTAGAGTTCTGATTAGTGGTGATACCAACAGAACAAGAATAAAATTATTCACCTTACATAAGGATAAAAGGCTGCTGAAGGTGGCCTTTCAGAACATTTAAAATTAGAACTAGCAAAATTTGATTCACACATAATTGATTAATAAAAACCAGACTGCCTGCATCCTCAAAAAGACGATAGGCTTTAACTATCTAGGGCATGAAGAAAAAGTAGGAGTCTAATTATGTATGTTCTTTCTTTCAAAGTAGGGTTATATTATGTGCATCAAGTTAACATGCACCATTTCTGAGTTTTACCTAGATAAAGTTTAAAAATGTAAATGATCCTTACTTGTCAGCTTAGAGACAGTCAACAGAACTCATTACATTTTCACTGAGGGGGAGAAATCTAGGTTAGTCCACCTGGCTATAAATACAGGCTTCTCCAACGTTAAAAGAGTAAACTCCTCATTATTATTCGAGTCTCAAAGGCTTAACCAAGCTCAGCAAGAGAGATGTGTATTTTTCCTGTTGTCTTCACAGGGTATCAATTTTGAACTAAAATATGACCATTTGGTAACCAAGAATTTGATCTCATAGAGTCTTAGGTCCTTCCTAGGAAGAAACGGGACATCTCTGAAAGGTTTATCAACTCTTCACAGGCACCCCCAGTTCTCGTTAGTAACAGTGTTTTTAGAGGAGCTCATTTACCAAATGAGTTCACAAAAGGGTTCTTTAAAAATACTCTATTAGATGGTTTATTGCCAAGGAGAGGGTGAAATCAAGAAATTAAACCCTAGTATCGCTCGATGATTTCCTTTTGCATACTTTGAGTGTAAAGAAAACATGTCTTTATAATTACATCTACATGAATCCCACAAAACAGGAGCTAGAATCATCAGTGGGATAAATATTTTCTGCACAGGAAAATTGTTGTGGCTTTTCCCTCCATTACAGAAGGCTTATTGCAGCCTTAAGGACAGACTCAAAATTACATCAGCTCCAGTGGAGAAAAGTTCTTATGCAGTAACAAAATTTCCACTAGTTATCACTATCCTTCATGTCTCAACAATAAAAACTAAAAGTAGACAGTCCAGAAGTTCAAACAGGGGCCTTAGTATCACCGTTGCAGAACTTGTGATTATTGTCTACTGAAGCTTTAGCCCTCCTCAGTTTGATTTCTTATAGTCCTCACTAGATTTCACTTGCTCAGTAGTTAATTTAGAATAATCAGTATATACGATAATGTCTAACTCAGTTTTAATACATGGGTTACTTAAAAATCAAGTATAGTCACGCACCACATCACAACATTTAGGTTAATGATGGACCACATACACGGCCATATTCCCATAAAATTATAATGGAGCTGAACAATTTCTATCGCGTAGTGACATCTTGGCCACTGTAATGTCCTAGTGCAACACATTACTCATGTGTTTGTGGTGATGCTGGTATAAACAAATCTACTGTACTGCCACTCACATAAAAGTATAGCACTTACAATTAGGTACAGTACATAGTACTTGATAATGATACTAAATGTTACTGGTTTGTGTGCTTACTATAGCATACTTTTTATCATTCTTTTAAAGTGTACTCTTTCAACTTATTTTTTAAAAAGGGTGCTGTAAAACAGCAGCCATGTTATGCTGGCAGTAGCCTTGTACAATACTTGTGTTCACCGTGTCTCTTGATGGCATCATTTTCTCTTGTTCTTGACTTAATCTGTGCTGTTTTACACAATAACATGCCGTTATTATGCTATACCATGCAGTCTAGGTGTGTAGTAGGCTATACCATCCGGGTTTGTGTAAGAACACTCTATACAGGGGTGAACAAAAGTAGGTTTACAGCTGCGAGTACATGAAACACATTTTACTTTTGTACTGTTATTTTCCATACAAACAACTGTAAATCTTCTTATGCCCACCCGATACATTCACACAACAATGGGATCCTCTAAAGACCCATTTCTTAGAACTATTCTGTATCCTATCATTAAGCAGCATATGGCTCTATCTCCATTATTCATTACACAATATAGTAGGTACAACGTCATGCATATAATTTTAAAAAATAAGAAACCCCCTTCAATTAAGGTTGTGGCACTTTAGCAAAAAAGAAGGGTGTAGAAACAGGACAGCGGCAGACACAGCACAGAAACTGAGCCTGCAGTTAAGATACCCATTTGCTTTGGCACTTTTCATCTGTAAATAGTTGAGGCAGAAACGTTATCACAACTATTTTGTGGATTATGAAGAGGGAGTTTTGGTGAGTTCTGTGAGTTTTGCTAAAACACTGAAATGAGTTCACAGTGAGCCATCCACCCCTCAAAGATTACTAGTCTTGTTGTTTACACAGATTATCACAGTTGTGACAAGCAAAATCAAGTTTCCACACTTTCAAGTCTGAAATGTCTTCTATCAACAGCAGCATTAATATAGATTTCCCTGATGATTACTAATGCTTTAGAAATAAAGACCTTCACCTTTCTTCATAGTTAACCTTGTTAACTAGAAGTCATCCTTCCAAAAACTTCCAAGTGTAGGTTAACAAAGATCTTTTGCCAATGTTTTCTTCCAAATGGAGTTTCTGGTTATTTTCATAACAAACTGTTAGGACATTTTTAGAAAGTGCAAAAAATAAGAGAATTCTTTTGGGGGAGGAGAGTGGAGTGGAGGCAAGAGCGGAGGAGAATGGAATAGATGCAGGAGGTATTATTCCACCAAATGTATTTAATCTGTAACAACTTAAATCAGTATGCTAAACTGATTAACGGATGCCAAAAGAAAAAGAGAAAACAGGTAGATATACCACGGATTTGTCACTTCACTTCTGGGGCAACTGATAACTTCTCTGAATTACGATTAAACACCCATATCCTGCACAAGGGGAGGCGCCACATTTCTGTCACTGTTGCTACTCTTCCCATCCGGTTGGGCTTTAGGCCTGGGAGGTGGCAAGCCAGGATTTGAGCACGACTGTACCTCCATGAACTTTATACAAAGAAGCTGACACTCAAATGCTGAGATCTCTGACATGCGAGAAGTTAGCTGGGCAAAGAACAAATCCAGGTATCTCCTGCCAGAACAAATGCCAGGGTGGAGGAGGTGCTGTTCCAAATGACACTTCAATCGGCCAAGGGGTGAATCGCGGCCTGGACGACTCAACAGCCCAGGAGGGCAAAGGTATCCGGTGGCGGTGGGGGGAAAGATGCTTCCTCTCCCCACAGGGACTCGCGCTCAGGCCGCCGCCTCCGTCTTTATTTTGAAGCCCTACAGGGCTAGTCCCTGCTGCCTGCTCCGAAGAGCTATTTTCAACCACAGCCGAAATCAGCAACAGCAAATTACACTGCAAACAATGGAGAGGGCGCCTGCTCGGCATGGTTAGAAACTCCGGAGAGGCAACGTGGAGAATGACTTTTCACTCGATCAGAGCTGCTCGACGCTCCAGCCGCCAGCCGCCACCCGCCCCGCGCCCAAAACCCCGAGGGCTGTGAGATGCGGCGACAGCTGGGAGAGCTGGCGGGGAGGAAGGCTGTCCCACCGCGGACAGGGGTCCGCGGGTGGCGGGATTCCCTCGCGTCCGGGCACTGCGCGTAGTGCGCTCCCTGGCGGAGAGAGCGGCTGAGCGCGGCCGTCGGGGAGAACCCGGCGTCCCAGCCAGGCGCTCGGGGACCGAGGGCGGCCGAGGGCGGGGTAAGGTGGGGGGAGGGTCGGCGGGCCAAGCTTTGCTCTGCGACACCCCCGGCGGTGGTCCAGGGGTCTCAAAGCCGCAGGCCGGGCTCCGACGCTCCTCTTTCCCAGCCCCTCCAGCGCAGACAGGGGCGGGAAAGCCCGGACCCGGGGCAGCGGGCAGCAGGGGAGGGAGAGTGTCAGGCAGAGAAACAGGAGGACGACAGTAACTTCACGCGGGAGACGAAGCCCACTCAGCCTCGCTCCTCGGCCCGGCGCCCCCACCGCCACCCAGCTTGTCCGGCTCACCCGGTTCTTGCAGCGCTGGTGCCGGCCAGGGTCGGAGTACGTCCGGTCCACGGTGAGCGCCGTGTCGCTGCCCGGCATCTCGGTGCTCGCGCCGGGAACTTTCCCGTCTCCTGGGGCTCCAGCGCCGCGAGCTGCGGGCGGTACTCGGGTAGCCGCGGGGACCGCGGCGGAGCTGGAGGTGCGGGCAGCGGGAGGCGCGGGCAGCGGGAGGCGCGGGCAGCTGCAGCTGGTGCCGACAGCCGCGCGGCTGCCCTGCGCCGCCGCCGCGGGGTTGGGGTGGGCGGGTGTAGGGCGGAGCAGGGACGTGGGAGACTCCTCCCCTTGTCTTTCCTTGCCTCCCCGTGCGCGCCCCGCGGAGGCCGAAGACCCTGCTCCAGGTAAGACTTCTCCGCCTCCTTCCCTTGCTGAAACTTGATTCCACCCCCTCCCACACTGCTTTTTCTTCAAAATATAAGCGGCATCTATTTGTTGACATATTTGTGTATTTATGATAACAGATGGATTTTTGACAAGATGTTGAGGCTTGCCTTAAATTCTTGCTTTCAGGTTATTATTATTATTTTTTGTTCAACATGCACCTACTGGGCATCTGCCACGTGCCAGACCTTGGGACAGGAACCAGAGATTTTTTTTTTTAAAGTTTTTCTTATAATTCCACTGAACATGGAACACACCTCCACTTAAGGAAGATCTACGGTGCTGTGTGTTTTAATTTTGCGTGTCCAGCTCACCTTCAGGTTGGAAGCTACTTGAAAGTCAAGACATCTTTTTGTTTTAGTATTTCCTATTTCTAGTGAATAGTCCCTGCCCTCAAGAAATTTGGAGTATTGTAACCTAAGCCAATAGTCTGAACATCGGGTCTGTTTGTGTAGGGTGTATCTAGTGGGTGACTGACCTGAAATACTGAAAGTGCAGCTGCTTCAGAGATGAGCCAAGAGTACAAAGTGAGCAGCCCAGAAGGAAGAACATGCTTTTCCCCTTCAAAGGGTTGAGGGGCTAGGGGAGTGCGGGCCTTAGAAGAGTACCGAGCATAAAAACAAAGGCATGTTTGGAAAACCTCCAGTCATCAATTTAGGGGGTGTCTTTAGGAACAGAAGGATGTGCTGGAAAAAGTAGCTGGAGACCATGTCGTGCAGGGCTCTACTTTCAAAACTAAGATGTTCAGCCTTGTTCTGAGAGCATCGGGAAGCTGCTGGAAGTTTCTGAAAAGGGAAATGACAAAATCAGGATGGAAATTTAAGAGGATGTATGTGATAGTGATGAGAAACAGTGATTGAAGATTGTGAGGGCACTGGTTAGAAGATCATTGCAAAGACTGAGAACACTCTAAGGGTCCTTCAGAAGGAGACTGAATGTAAGTTATGGTACATCCATCCAGTGGAGTATCAGGAAACTGCAATGGAATGAGGCAGCTCTCTATGTAGAGCTACAGAAATCTCTCTAACATACATGATTAAGTGGAAAAGCAATGTGCAGAATAATTTAAATGGTAATTCACCATTTATGTATTGTAAAAACCATATATGTATGTGCTTATATATGCATAGCATAATTCTGGGGGGATAAGCAAGAAACCAGGGAAACAGACAAGAAACTGATGGCAGGAGAAGGGAACAAGGTAGATGGAGGAGAGATTTATTTTTCACTGTATGTTCTTTTAAAACTTGAATGTTTGAATTGTGTATATATATTAACTATACAAAAAGTAAAATAAAAGTATTTTTAAATGAAGAGATTAAACTGATTGAAACTTAATAAAATACCGCTAAAACCATTAAAAAATGTAATCAAGACCCCATACCCCCCATACATATGACACAAGTACACCAGACTCAGAGAGTTTTTCAGGTAAATTCTTTCAAAACAGAGGAGATCCAAATATTAGTGTGTGAATGTGTGTGTGTATGTCCATGATTTTAGCTAGGGTGGCCAAAGAAGGCCTCCATGATAAGGTGACATTTGAGCAGAGACCTGAAACATAAGGGAGCAAGTGATGTAGATATCTGAAAATTTCAGAAAGAAGGAACAACAAGAACAAAGGCCCTGGGGCAGGTACTTTTGGGGAGTGTTTGAGGAAGAGCAAGGGGGCCAATGTTCCTTGGAAAGACAGTAGGAGATGCAATCAGAGAGATTTCAGAGGTTTGGATCATATAGGGCCATTTAGGCCATTTTAAGAACTTTGACTTTAATTATGAGGGAGATGAGAAGATTTGGAAATTTGTAAGCAAAGGAGTAGCATGCTCTGCTTTTTCACTTGGGGAAAAAAAAGATCCCTACAACTCACAGGGTACACAAAAATCAATACCAGATAGATTAAAGGTGTACAGGGGAGAAAAAGAAGAAAATTGGAGAATATCATTATGATCTCAGGCCACAAGAAACAGGTCACAAAAAGCATAAACCATAAAAATTCAACTACATTAAAATTATAAAACTTCTACTTATGAAAAGGAGTAATAAGAAAGTAAAACGATAAGCCACAAACAGAACTTGAGCTAAAAAAAAAAATCAACATAAATGATTTTCACAAACAATGCTTAGAAATTTAAAAAGCCTCAGAAAATTACGTTCAGTATTATTTTATTCATATAAAGTTAAAAATATAAAGATTGAGGGAGCCTCTAAAAAGAAGAAGCAAGAGGTTGGCATCTTCAACTGAAAGAAGAAGCAAGAGGTTGGCATCTTCGATTGAAACACTTCCAGCCAGTCGACCGCAGCAGCTAGGAGTCATGTGCGACAGCGGTGGGCGGAACTGCAGCGAGCCGGAATCCCGTTCTGCTTCCAGAAGTGGAAGTGCTCTTGGATCTGGGAAATCTGCAAGGCATACCCCATGCAAGGTCTCCCTCCAAGGAAGATTCCAGGAGTTCCACATCAAAGTCCAGGTCCAGATCTGAATCTAGGTCTAGATCCAGAAGAAGTTCTCGAAGGCATTATACAAGGTCGCAATCTCGGTCTCGCTCTCATAGATGATCCAGTGGCAGGTCTTACAGGTGAGTTTATCGAAGACATCATAGCCACAGCCATTCTCCCATGTCTATTTGCAGGCATCATGTCAGGAATTTGGCAAATCCTGATCCAAGCTGTTGTCTTGGAGTATTTGGATTGAGCTTGTACACTACAGAAAGTGATCTAAGAGAAGTGTTCTCTAAATATGGCCCCGTTGCTGATGTGTCTCTTGTATACGACCAGCAGTCTAGACGTTCAAGAAGATTTGCCTTAGTATATTTTGAAAATGTAGTTGATGCCAAGAAAACAAAAGAATGTGCCAATGAAATGAAGTTTGATGGACAAAGAACCAGAGTTGATTTCTCCATAACAAAAAGATGACTTACCCCAACACCAGGAATTTACATGGGGAGACCTACCTATGGCAGCTCATGCTGTCATGATTACTATGACAGAGGATACAATCGAGGCTACGATGATCAGGGCGACTATAGCGATCACACAGAGGAGGCGGAGGATGCAGAGCTGCTCAAGACAGGGATCAGATTTATAGATGACGTCACCTTCTTCTGACTATAGTCATGGAGGTTACAGATCACATTCCAGGTTTTGATCATATTCGCCTCCTCGCTATTAAAGCATGAAGTAGGAGACTTTCTGAAACCTGCCCTAGAGTTTGGATATTGTTTGTAGACAATATTTTTTATTTTCTCCTGTTAAAAAAGTGAACAGCACCTAGTGAATTTAGGTGACTTTTACACCTTTTCCGATGATCACTTTTGGTGGAGTTGAAATGCTGTTTTCATTCTGCATTTTTGTAGTTCAGCGCTTTGTTCAAAGTTAAGTGTTTTCAGAAAACTATGTTTTGCATGTATTTTTTTACAGTCTAAATTTTGACCTCTGCCAAGTTTCTATTGTACCAAACTTCATTTAAAAGAAAGGTTTTTCTACTGAATCCAGGGTATTCTAAAGATCGAAGCCTGTGTCTAAATGCTGCCAAATGGCAAAAAGCAACACATAAAGTTTGATTTTTGCTTAAAAAAATGAAGATTAAATGACTCTCTTTTTTTAAGGCAACCAAGACATATAGTAAAATAAGTAAGAAAAACAAAAGCATGATAAACACTAATTTCAGGACAGTATTTATCTCGGGGGGGATGAAGAAATGTTTAATAGGAGAGGGTGACAAGATTGCAAATAATGGCCTATTTAATGAATGACTGTTGCTACACTGGACATGTATTTACTCACATACAATATTTCATAATAACTTAAAAAGTCTTAAAGCGATGAAGACTCAGGCACAGATGTGATGATGGCATCCTTAATCCTGGGATTTAAGGAACCTGGGGGGTACTCTACTCAAATAAACAAACATAATAGTATTTTTACAGGTACAAAGCTTGTTATAAAGTCAAGATAGTCTGTTACTATTAACTTGTCATTATGCCAGTTTAATCTTAAAAGATTCATTCTGAAAATCTTATTTCTGAGCTTTTCCCCTCATTTGTCTGATACCTAATTTTGTTTTCTAGCTACTTACAGCTATATGAAGTACAATACTTAGGGTGTGTGGGTGTGTGTGTGTGTGTGTGTGTGTAACTGTGTGTGCATAATTTTAGAAAGGTCAGGCTTAAGTGAGGTCTCAGACAAACCAAAGTTGGGCCTAGGGTGGTGCACCATCAGGCATCTACTTTTGAGTTCTGTTATGCTTTAGCATTCCTTAGAAGAACTTCATGTTGGAAATGCTCGCCCTCAATGAAGAGGATGAATTAAAACTTTATTAGGTTCACATGAATGTCATGTAACAGAGGATATTCTCTTTAGATCATTTTGACCCATTCTATGAGCTAGTGGCCCTAAAGCGCCTCTACTGGGCACTCATATAAGAAATAATAGTTTTGTTTTGTTTTTTTTAACCCTCACCTGAGGACAATTCTTTCATTGCTTTTAGGGGGAGTAAGGGAGAGAGGAAGGGAGAGCAACATTGATTGGTTGCCTCCCATGTGCACTTGGACTGGGGATCAAGGCACCCTGGTTGGGACTGAACCTGCAACGTTTTGATTATGGGACAACTCCAACTGTGCCACACAGGCAAGGGCAAAAACTAAGGTTTTTAAATACACAAATTAAGTAGTGCAAGAGCAAGATCCCCAGAAAAGAAGGCCCCAAAAGGTTAATAGACCCTGTCCCTTCTTTTGGAGGCATTGCTTAGAGTTTTGTCACTCCTTAAGAGAGGGAGAGAAGGAAAAGACAGAAAGAGTAAGCAAATTTTGCCTGCCATTGTAAAAACTGTGCCACTGATGATACCTCCA